GTCTTAAACCATTTTTGGGTGGCACAAGCAGTGAAGTGTTTGACTACAAACTGTAAGGTTGCTGGCAACATGCTTCAGAACGTTCATAGACATTGAAAACCGTGAGGAGCACAGTTAGATTGTGTGCATAGTGTTACCATGAGTCAGAACCAACTCAGCAGCAGCTGCTTTGGTTTTGTGGTTTTGCTTGACCTCAACTAGTCTATCTTCAGCTAATAGCACTTTTTGGAAGTTGTGCTCTTAAAGGTGACTTTACTATCTATCCCAGTAAATTTCTCACTTCTAGTCTTTCTCGGAAAGAGCCCTGGTGGCATAGTGGCTAAGTAGTTGACTACTAATTGAAAGATAAGAAGCTCGAACCCACCAACTGCTCCTTGGGAAAGATGTAGCAGTCTGCTTCTGGATCCTCTCTGGGACCTTTCTACTCTGTTCTACATGGTTACAGGAGTCAGAATAGACTGAAGGGCACACAACAACAACCATAGACCTCTGTAGAAGGAGAGACTTTAATTCAGTAATTTCAGTTTCAGTAAAACTCAAAATTTATTTTCAGTTTTATTGAAACTGAAATTGTATTGAAAACAAAATTTATGTCTGTCTGTACCCCTTCTTTGTTTTTGTACTTCTTTTATTCCTTTTGGTGGTGATCCTGTCTCCCTCTTGCTCTCTCGTTATTCATTCAGGTATTTATGGAGCACTTTATACCAGGATACATAGTTCAGTGAGACCTCATCCCTTCACTGACGTCGTCACTGACAGTACAGTACTCTCCATCTTGACCTCCCTCTAGTCTAACTTCCTTCTCTTCCCTAGTAACTGTCTTATCACTTGGCTCCTTTTTTGCCTTCTCTTTTAAGATGCTGCTACTGCAAAGTTTTCTATCCCAACTACAAATGGAAATTTTTGGTGACCTACTATCATGGTAGTGTAGTGGTTACGAATCGGGCTGTGAACCACAAGGTCAGCAGTTCGAAACTACCAGCTGTTCCACGGGAGAAACATGAGGCTTTCTGCTCCCGTAAAGATTTGTAGCCTCGGAAACCCTGTACAGGGTCGCTATGAGTCAGAACCGACTCCATGGCACATAACAACAACAACAACTATCATGGTGGAGTCCTGGTGTGGTTCTGTGGGTTAATGCGCCAGACTGCAAAGCCGTTTGAATTGCAAGGTCACTGTTCAAGCTCACCAGTCACTCCTCGGAAACCCTATACACGGTTGCTATGGGTCGGAACCGACTCAACGGCACTGAACAACAACAACTATCACAGTGGCTCCATGAGATAAGCACTGCACTGTGAGCCATAGGTCCGCAGTCCAAGCCCGCCAGCCAGTCTGCAGGAGATAAGGTTTTCTGCTCCCACAAAGATTCAAAAGTCTCAGAATGTTGTGACTTGGCAGCACTTAATAACAACAAAAATAACAACTATGCACAGGCTGCCATACTCATAGAATTTTCTATTTAATCTCTTATTGCTAAGATTATTCTTAGTTTTCAAATTTTATTCTGTTCTGTATTATTCAGCGATGCAAGGATTTTTCAGCTAATTTTTTTATGCAACATTTTTATCTTCATCAAAATTTTAAAGTATTTGATAGTTTATACAATAACGTGTACTTACAAAAAATGTTGGCACATTTTTATTTGTAAAGGCTACTTTTTGGTTGGTTGATTTTTTGAATGATGAGAATGATGACATGTAATGAAATTGCCAATATGTCATTGACCAGTAGGACTAGACTAATTACTGTCTTTGTAAACATGGATTTTCAGGGATTCTCCCTCAATACATTTGTGGTGATTTAAGAGATTTTGGTTTCCATAATACTTTTATCTAACACAAATTCATTTAAAACATGAATCTGAAGTGTTGTGACCTTCAGAGCGTTTAATTCTGTTTAAAGTTTAGAAATAGTCATTGAAATTAAAATGAAAGGTTTATATCTATAAAAACATACTTCAGTACAGATGGTCAGTAGCTAACGAGCGTTTTGATTCTACAAGTAACTATAAGTGTATTGTGTACCAATTTTGCATGACAGATTAATACAGAGCCATTTTTGGAAAGACTTCAATTGAGATGTGTTCAGGATGTACTTAGGAACGTTTTTAGGAAATAGATCAGGCTGACAGGAAACTGTGGAAATGGAGAATTTTTAAAAGCTGGTTTAGAGTATCTCAAGTGCTAATTTGGGAAGGCATTATCAGTTTATTCCAGGAAATACATATTTAAGGCCTTCACAGAGGACGATGCTATATCCTTAGAGAGTGAAAGGAGTGCATTGGCATGTATAGTTTTTGGACACTAGGAGAAGAATATCTTGATGAAATTGCCTTTTCCAGCCATGAAATGAGATGTTTATCCTTATGTGAATTAAACATTTCAAGCAGGTGGAAAACGTATCGTATAACTGAGGAAAATTTTATTTCCTTTGACTTTATGTTGTTTAGTGGATGTTTTTATGTTTTAAAATGCATTGCGCTAAATGATAGTTTCTCCTTTCCATTTAAAATGTACATTGTTGTTGTTGTTAGGTGTCATCAAGTCGGTACCGACCCATAGTGACCTTATGCACAGCAGAATGAAACACTACACGATCCTGGGCCAACCTAACTATTGTTGACACGCTTGAGTCCATTGATGCTGCCACTTGGCCAGTCCATCTTGTTGGGGGGTCTTCCTCTTTTTCTCTGACCCTCCACCTTACCAAACATGATATCCTTCCCCAGCAATTGGTCCCTCCTGACAATATGTTCAAAGTATGAGAGATGAAGTTTGACCATCTTGGCTTCTAAGGAGCATTCTGGCTGCACATCTTCCAAAACTGACCTATTGGTTCTTTTGGCATCCCATGGTCCTTTGAATATTCTCCTCCAACACCATAACTCAAAAGCATCAATTCTTCTACGGTCTTCTTTACTCACTGTCCAGCTTTCGCATGCATATGAGGTTATTGAAAATACTATGGCTTGGGTCAGGTGCACCTTAGTCCTCAAGCTGACATCTTTGCTTTTCAACACTTTAAAAAGGTCTTGTGCAGCAGATTTGCCTAATGCAATACGTCGTTTGATTTCTTGACTGCTGCTTCCGTGAGTGTTGATAGTTGATCCAAGAAAAATGAAGTCCTTGACAACTTCAATCTTTTCTCCATTGATAAGAATGTTGTTTATTGGTCTAGTGGTGAGGATTTTTGTTTTCTTGACATTGAGATGGAATCCATATAGAAGGCTGTGCTTTGATCTTCATCAGTAAATGTTTTAAGCCCTCTTCACTTTCACAAGCAAGGTTGTATCATCTGCATATTGCAGGTTGTTAATGATATACCAGGGGACAATACAGTGTATTCTAATGTTGTTGTTGTTAAGTGCCGTGTAAGCAGATGATATACCTGTGTATTATTTTGTAATTGATGGGTTGTTACAAAAACCATACTTGACTCTTCTGCTGATTGCCTAACAAAGGATGTTGTAGTTAAGTGCCGTTGAGTTTGTTCTGACTTAGAGCGACCCTGTATATTGTTTCCAAAGAATGGCTGGTGGGATGAACCACTGACCTTGTGGTTAGCATACCAGTGCTTATCCTCTGGCACTAGGTAGACATTAATAAAAAACATAAAAGTGAACCTAACTTTCTTTTTTGAACATCTTATTGTGGTTTGGGTAAAAGTTTGCTGAGCACATTAGTTTTGCATGTAACCGTTGATACAGATTTTGTTTCATGACATTAGTTGCAGTCCCATTAAATAACATCACTCTCCCACTTTTTCCCTGGGTTTGGGGTTTCCATGCTTCCATCTTTGCTGTCCCTTCTTCCCTTCTGGGTTTTGTTATTGGATAAATGCTGCTGTTTGGGTCTTCTATGATTAATTATTTTGAGGAATACATTTCTTGGGGGGAGCTATTATTCCCCTTATAGACTGGTGTGTTGTTAGGCTGAAATGTGATCCCCAGGGGTAGGTTCGGTTCCATGTTTGAGGGTGTCTAAGGGCCATAAACTTGAGGTTCCCCCAGTCTGTATCAGACCAGGCAGTCTTTATTTTTATGATGTTGAATTTTTTTCTACATTTATCTCCCACTCTGTCCAGGAACCTCTATTGTGATCCCTATCAGAGTAGTCAGTTGTGACAACTGGACACCGTCTAGTTTTTTAGTCTCAGACTAGGGAGGCTGTGGTTCACGTGGTCTGTTAGTCTTTTGGACTAATTCTTTCCTTGAGGCTTTGATTTTCTTCACTCCTCTTTGCTTCGAACAGGGTGAGGCTGATAGTTGCATCTTAAATGACAGTTCATAAGCTTTTAAGAACCTGGTAGCTTCACACCATATTAGAATGTAGAACATTGTTTTTGTGGAATATGTTATGCCAATAATCTAGATGTGTTTAGAGATTAGTCTGGTTACCAAGACCCAGTGACTCAGTTCCTCAAGGTGTTGATGACTCATAGGGTAGTTATGACTAAGATGTTTTTATTACTTTGCCTCCTGTATGTGCATGGATATATTTGCAGCATACACCAAAAGTTGTTGTTGTTAATGTGGCTGTTACATGGTGTGTAGTCCACAGTTCTTTATTCTTTCATTTGATGGTCAGAGTTCTAGTAACTTCTATATCTGTTTCATTTGGTTTCTCAGCTCTTCGTTGCAGCAAACCGACATGAAGTGTCTTAAGTAGGTCACCCTCATTTCTACTCCCTGAACCTAACTTTTCATCAAACCTTGAAGGTTACTTTGTTTTCATGAAATACATTTTTAAATTTACTGAAATCCTATCTGTAAAATAATATTTTCTAATGTTCTCAATTTAAGAATTTGGATGCTGATCTTGGTTTGAAGACAGAGGACAAACGTTGCCATTGCCTGTTGGTCTTGCCTGAAGGGTCACTTGAGTTTTGTAGTTAACTTGACAGTTTAGCTGATTACAACAAATGTAACTTGTTTTTCTGTAAACATCAAAAATGAATTAATATTGTTAAATTCTTATTTTTCTCATATTCTATTCCAGATTAAAGAGTCTATTGTTGGGGAAATCCGAAGGGAAATTGTAAGTGGACTTTTGGCAGCAGTGTCTTCAAGTAAAGCATCTAAGCAAGACAAATAGTTATTAAATAGACTTTACAGGTACATTTTTCTTCTGAATTTCTTTAGTTAGCTAAATTAAAATTATACATTGGTTTTTAATGCTTTGCTTTTTTAGTAGGTAGGTCTATTTCTATAGCTGAATTTTATTTCTAAAATGTATATGATATATCCTTTCTATAAAAACTCATACAGTAGTACCATTTTGAAGTGTAAGCAGGTTAAATTCTATAAAACTAACCTCCAAGGAATTATCTGTATTTTGTTGTTTTATTAAAATTTAATTTCAGTAACTAATTGCTGGAATTGACGCTTCAAAGCTGAATCATACTGTAATAGCTTTGATGATAATGGCATGTCATATGCTCAGTTTATGGAACATAATTTTGAGATTTTATCACAAATTCTTAGTAACTTAGTATTTTTGTATTTTAAGGAAACATTTGACATATATGTCAATAATTGAATAATTGTTAAAATTTATAAAGATTCTTTTAAATAAATTAAAAATTTAATATTATCTCATAACTAATTGCATTTCATAAAATATTTGTCCACAGTAAAACTTGGTGAATGCAAAAACTATAATACATTGCTTAGTCGAACTGTATAATTAATAGAAGTAAGTATATTCAATATAATCTGGAAATAAAAATGTATTTTGAAATTGATACATAATTTCATTTGTAGATAATAGAAAATATTTAAGTTAGGTTACAAAGAAATTAGGATTTTATTTTCAAAACTAGGCATAGAAACTTGATTCTCAGTAAAATGTATAGCGATTCCAGAAAAATCATATTAAGAAAGGTAGATAGATGAACCCTCATTTAAATAACCTTTTATCAATAATATTTGAAAGATGCTTAATTATATGTTCTCTCTCTTTTTGAAGGTTGACATGAATTGTATTAGTTATATAATATTGAAGATATCGATGGCATACACTGGTGGAGGTGTTATTTGTGTTTCAGAAGACACTTGCTGTTGAACTCTGGGCTACTGTATAAATGTACAATGTTAATTCTTTCCATATCTTTTAAAAACTACGTAAAAACTTAGATAGACACTTTGCTAACCTTTCTTTTCTAAACTTTCAAAACTGTTAGCAGTTTGAAAACCTAATATTTATTTGTATGTCAATATTTTCTAACTGATTACCATATGTAGAGTTAATTTTAAAACTTGAAGCCTTCCAGACTTAACCAACTTATAAATAACATACTTCTTTAGAATAGCTTCTTAAAACACTGACCTCTATGAGGTATTTACTGTGCAATAACTGATTCATTTTTTGAGAGCTTGAAGCAACCAATGATTTTTGTTTTTCCACTACTGTTAATTAGTGTCACTTCCAAGAAGAAAACTTGTTCTGGTGTAAAAATTGATATTAATTCTTGAGGGAGTTACTAATGCAGTATGATAGAATTGTATGAGGTTACCAACAACTACTTACTGTTCTTACACTGTAAGCCTTGCTACTTTACCCAAGACAAATGTAATTTTATTATAGCTTACATAATATTTTTCTTTTGGAAATATGCCTTATGTTAAACACTATGTACTTTTTGCCTTGCTCAGACTTCTTTTTTAAAAGGAGAGGTTTCTTCTTCTGTCTTTTAGACAAAATAGTAGAATATTGTCAAAATAGCGGGGCCTATGACTTGAATTAATAGAAATGATTAAGCTGTTTTTTGTCTTTTCAAAGTGGACATAATTTAGATTTGTTCTCCTCATCCATAGATGGTTTGAATTCAGTTTTGACCACTGAAAAATGTTTGTTTTTATGAAAAAATAAACAAGGAAAATGATGTCCTATTTGGTTTTATATGTGTTAAATAGATGTATAACGTAACAACCAAATGTTATTGGCATTCTTTTAGCATCAATAGTTTTCAACACGTTTCTTTGTGTGTAAACTTTAATCAAAAGTGGTTGAGATATTAACAGTATTCGTTGAAAGAATATCTAAAAGGTCTATGAATGAATTATCACACAAAGATTGATTTCTGAGAAAAAAAAATTAAAACAATAAAATATTTATTTTGCCTAACATGCTATCAGTGGATTTATTTCTTGAACTACATGTTGGAAGAATTTGGATTATATTTGATTAGTAACAAAGTCCAAAAAAAAAAGTTGCTGCACATAAAAAAATAGGTTTTTGAATTTTCTTTTCTTGAAGAGGTTCCTGTGATGCTTACAACATGCAGTTAAGACTAGCCCACCCTGGAGAGAGAACACTACTAACGCCTCTTTATCTCATCTAGTTCTGTGGGCCTAATGATTACCATCTGCAATCACATGCAGCGCCTCTTAAAACTATACTATTAAAACTACCAAAACAACCAACCAGACATTCAAATATTCTTTTATTCTTTGGTCCAATTATTCATCAGTTTAAACAGTTAATTCTGACAGCAGTAATGATAAGTATAGGTCCAGATAGCCCCATCTTGCTGTAAACACAGTAATCATTGCTTTTTAATTATTCACTTTTATAGCCACTTTTAGTTTAATTCTGACAGTACGTGATCATCAACATTATGAATATAGCAGTTGCATTAACTTACAAGGTGAGCCAATGAACAGATAGGTTGCATAGCATAAAAATGAAATAAAACGAACCTCAGTGCTATTAACGTTTCATCTTTCCTTCATTTTAAACTTTTGTGTACTTAATAAATATTTGAAAAACATTATTGTTAAGTCATCATTTTAGCTTCTTAATTTTAGAAATGAAGAAAGAGAGAGGGCCTAAAAACTAAATTGAAAAAGGCATTTTTTACTGGTGAGTGGAAGTGGGGGAAAGGTAGCAATGAAGATATGGGCTGAGTTTGACCACATTCTATAGGCTCCCAGTGACCTGGAGATGAGAGAGAGAAAAGGAAGATCTGGTTTGTCCAAAGTGTGGTGAGACCTGGGGACTCCTAAGCCCATGGACAAGGACCTAGCCACAGAAGGCTAGAGTTGAGAGTGAAGTGTCCAGCTGATAATGAAGTGAGGGGAGACGTACAAGAACACCCAAACTTACAGATAGTGCCCATTTGACCTAGCTTGAATGGCTTGATGATCAAAACGTGACTAGAGGAAGATAAATTTAATAAAGGAAACAAGTGTAAATTGCTACAATATGATGAACTTGACCTATACTTACAGATGTAGTAGCTTAAAATACCAACTGAGAAGGAAGAGTTTTCAAGTTTTCAAGAGGGAGTTTGAGAGCAGTGTGAGGAGGAAGGTAGAATCCCCACTGAATAGTTTTCACCTTGTCTAGACAGGTCTGGTCTTAGCGTAGTGGCTACGAATCGGGCTGCGAACCTTAAGGTCAGCAGTTCGAAACTACCAGACGCTCTGCGGGACAAAGATGAGGCTTTCTACTCCTGTAAAGATTTACACCCTCGAAAACCCTGTACAGGGTCGCTATGGGTCGGAACCGACTCGACGGCACTTAACAACAACAACGACAGACAGGTCTGGTGGAAGGAGATGGGGATAAGATTCCTATTCAGTATTGCGTAATTGGTACCATGACTAATTGCAATTGTCACAACTGTAAACATAGAAATAACATAAAGGGTTGTTGTTGTTAGGTGCCATCGAGTTGGTACTAATTCACAGTGACCCTATGCACAGCAGAATGAAACACTGCCCAGTCCTAGGCCAACCTCACAATTGTTACCATGCTTGAGCCCATTGATACTGCCACTTTGCCAATCCATCTCATTGGGGTCTTCCTCTTTTCTCTGACCTTCCACCTTACCAAACATGATATCCTTCTCCAGCGACTGGTCCCTCCTGACAATATGTCTGAAGTATGAGAGATGAAGTTTGGCCATCCTGACCTCCAAGGAGCATTCTGGCTGCACTTCGTCCAACACAGATTTGTTTGTTATTTTGGCAGCAATATTCTCCTCCAGCACCATAACTCAAAAGCATCAATTCGTCTATGATGCTTCTTATTCACTTTCTAGCTTTTGCATGCATATGAAGTTATTGAAAATATTATGGCTTGGGTCAGGCACACTTTAGTCCTCAATCTGACATCTTTGCTCTTCAACACATTGAAAAGGTCTTGTGTAGCAGATTTACCTAATGCAAAACGTTGTGTTATTTCTTGACTGCTGCTTCCATGAATGTTGATAGTTGATCCAAGTAGAATGAAGTCCTAGACAACTTCATTCTTTTCTCCATTGAAACAACATAAGAATGTTGTTTATTGGTCCAGTGGTGAGGATTTTTGTTTTCTTTACATTGAGATGCAATCCATACCGAAGACTGTGCTCTTTGATCTTCATCAGGAAATATTTTAAGTACTTCTTTCAGCAAGCAAGGTTGTATCATCTGCATGTTGCAGGTTATTAATGAGTCTTCCTCCAATCCTATGCCATGTTTTTCTTCATATAATCCAGAATTACTGATTATTTGTTCAGCATACAGGTTGAATAAGTATGGTAAAATTATATACCCCTGTCCCACACCTTTCTTAATTTTAACATTCAGTGTTCCCATGTTCTGTTTGAACAGCTGTCTCTTGGTCCATATACAGATTCCTCATGAGCACAATTAAGTGTTCCAGAATACTCATACTTTGCAATGTTGTCTATAGCTTGTTATGATCCACACAATTGAAAGCCTTTGCGTAGTCAATAAAGCACAGGTAAACATCTTTCTGACATTCTCTGCTTTCAGCCAAGATCCATTGGACATTGGCAATGATATCCCTAGTTCCATGGCATCTTCTGAATCTGGCTTGAACCTATGGAAATTCTCTGTCAATGTATGCTTGCAACCATATCTGTATTACCTTTAGTAAAACTTTACTTACATGAGATATCAAAGATACTGTCCAATGATTTCCGCATTCCATTGGGTCACCTTTCTTTGGAATGGACACAAATATGGATCTTTTCCAATCAGTTGCCCAGATAGTTGTCTTACAAATTTCTTGGCATAGATGAGTGAGTGCCTCACTTTCTTGAAAGATTTCAATTTTTGCTCCATTAATTCCTGGGCCTTGTTCTTTGACAATTCCTTCAATGCAGCTTGGACTTCCTCCTTCAGTATCATTGGCTCTTGATCATATGCTATTTCTTGAAACACCAGAACATCAACCAAGTCCTTTTGGTACAGTGATTCTGTGTATTCCATCCATCTTCTTTTGATGCTTTCTGCGTCATTCAGTAATTTGCCCAGAGAATCTTTGAATAACGTAAGTCGAGGCTTGAATTTTTTCTTCAGTTCCCCCAGCTTGAGAAATGCTGAGTGTGTTCTCTTTTGGTTTTCTGACTCCAGATCTTTGCACATTTTATTGTAATATTTGACTTTGTCATTTCAGGTTGACCTTTGAAATTTTCTGTTCAGCTCTTTTACCTCTACATTTCTTCCATTTGCTTTATCATCTCTATGCTGAAGAGCAACTTTCAGTGTCTCTTCTGACATCCATTTTGATCTTTTCCTTCTTGTATCTTAATGACTTTTTGCTTTTGTCATGTATGATGTTCTTGATGTCATCCCACAACTCTTCTAGTCTTCTATCTTTAGTGTTTAATGTATCAAATCTGTTCTTTAGACGATCTCTAAATTCAGGTGGGATATATTCAAGGTCATATTTTGGCTCTCGTGAACTTGTTTCCATTTCCTTGAGCTTCAGTTTGAATTTGCATAGGAGTAATTGATGGTCAGTTCCACAATCTGCTCCTGGCCTTGTTTTGACTGATGATATAGAGCTTTTGCATGGTCTCTTTCAGCAGATGTAGTCAATTTGTTTTTTATGTATTCCATCTGCTGAGGTCTATGTGTATAATCATAGCGTAGTGGTTACGAATCGGGCTGCGAACCTTAAGGTCAGCAGTTCGAAACTACCAGCCGCTCCGCGGGAGAAAGATGAGGCTTTCTACTC